GCCAAGGCAGAGAAGAAATGGTCCTGAGTAAACAAAGGTGCCCCGAGCATGTCTCACCTGAGTTGTAGCCTGTTAACTTCCCTAAGAAGCCCGGCACTTGCACCCTCTGTGAATGCTGTGTGGCTACTGCCATGAGTTACTGAACCCCCAGACACACACACACACACAGCTGTGGGACGGACGGTTGGTGTCAGAACTGGTAAGGCAGCTTGGAGGACAAGAAGAGGGGTGGGGCGTGTGTCTAGGTTCTGCCTCGTGGCATCAGCCTTGGGAGCAGCAGGCGTTCAAACGTAGCCCCCAAGCCGTTTCTGCTCTCATTGCATGACACAGGCCAGAACGTTCAGAACAAGGTTCGACTGTAGCGGTGCCCAGCACATGTTTTTGTCTTGTTTCTTACGTGAAGGTAAGTTCCTCCACTGTTTTCTCATTGTTATGAGATTTGACAATTGATTTGAAGAGGGTCGTTTGTAGATGTTGAGAAAGCACTCTAATTCTTGTTTATTAAGGTGTATTTTTTTTCCTAAATTATGAAAGGATGCAACCCTGTATGCCTTTTCAGATTTTACATGTAGTTTTTCCTCTTTTAACCTTTCAGTGAATTGTATGAATCTCAAACCAACCTCACCGCCATCCTCCTGTCAATTCTGACCCACAGCGACTCTCCAGGACAGGGTAGAACTGCCCCCGTGAGTTCTGAGACTGTCACTCTTTATGCAAGTAGAAAGCCTCATCTTTCTCCCAAGTAGCAGCCAGTGATTTTTGAATGCCTGACCTTGTTGTTAGCAGCCCAACCCTTACCCCAGGGCTCCTTGAATTATATGAACAGATGTCCTAATATTGAGCCTGAATCCATTCCTTGAATTCAGACAATCTGATAAACGGCTTGTCTGTAAAACACACCATGGTTTGTATCTACCCCTCTCTTCCTAGGCATAGTTCCTGTAGGCTCCTTTGAGCACGCCCTGACTCAGAGAGGCGTGGAGAGTAGCTAGGGGCACGCAGGCTGCCAGGGGGCACTGTGGCTGGGACTTGAAATGTGCCTAGGTGGATCCCACATCAAATGAACCTGGAGGACTGACCGCAGGTAGACTGTGAGTTCCTATGTTACTCACCCACTCGGGTTTCTTTCCAGCTCATTCAAGAGTGTATGGTCGCAGTATTCGAACACGAGGTGCATTTTCCTTTTTCTCCGGAACACCTCAATGAGGTTCACCAGGTTAGGATGCTTTAACTGCTGCAAAGGAAAGGAAAGGCACAGCTTTGGGATCATCGGCTTCGGGGAGTGGCTTCTCCCAGTCCTACCACCACAGTCAGAACTGACGTCTGCTTACTGTGACCTGTGTCTCACGTGGGGCATTTCAGCGGTATGACAAGTTTCACTTAGTAGGAATCAGAGACAAAGAGCGGCAAGACATGTAAGGATCTCCCGAGTCCACCCGTGATAGACGGTGACTACATGGCTTAACTCTCTGGTGACAGCAAAGGACGTATGTGATTTCAGATATCCGCCTCAGAACAACCCCCAAACCCAACATTTTATGGAAGCGTCAAATAGCCAAGTCGTAAAATCTGAGTAAGTACTGAGAAGTCGATGGGGCTCACCCAGAGCCGCTCAGCTTAGCTCGGGCCTGGGATAGGAGGCAGACTTCAGCCGAGTTACACCCGGCCGGGCCTCCGCGGCTGGTCCTCGCTCTGCTAGGCTTCCAGGTTCACATGGAATGAAGCTGCTTGTTCCGGAGCCTCCCCACTGCCCACTCCCAGTTAAGCTTGCGTTTTTAATTTATTCCTTTTCAGCCCTGTCCTTTCATTGTCTTGTTCTCTCTTATACTGACAGGTTTTAGGAGATAAATTCTCTTCCCCAATGAAAACATTTCATAGGGCAGCTTGTAGTATACCCTTGTAAACCAGAGGACAATTGTGATTAAGTAAAATAATCCCTCACTGACTACATCAGGGGTCCTCAAATTATGGCCCGTGGGCCACATGTGACCCATCGAGGACATTTATCTGGCCCGCCGGGTGCTTTTGCCCCATTTTGTTTTTTACTTCAAAATAAGATATGTGCAGTGTGCATAGGACTTTGTTCACAGTTTTTTTAAAAAATATATAGTCCAGCCCTCCAACGGGTCTGAGGGACAGTGAACTGACTCCCTGTTTAAAAAGTTTGAGGACCCCTGGACTACATAGTTTGTCATCTAGTTACATAATGGGTATAAGCCAGGGCTGCCCGTACACAGACGCTCGGTGGCTGAAGAGTCCATAGGAAGTCCTGGACAGAGCCGGGAACTCAGAAAGGGACTTCCAACCACATGGACATGGCAACAGCAGCCGTCAGCCAAGACGTGTGGTCACTCCGCTTGGAACTCACCTTCCCTTGGATTTTTCCAAAAAGCCTCACATAGTAGGCCAATTAACTTTTCAACCCTGTGCTGTTGGCCCAGAGAGACCTTTCACGTGTTTGATGTATGGTAGATGCTCAGTAGATATTGGTGGCCGAGCAGAGCCGTAGGTATAGGGGCTATGTGTGGCTGGACGCCCCCTGAGGCTCAACAGCTTGGAAAACTCAATGAAACTCACAGCCACTGAGGTGACCCTGACCCATAATGACCGCATGGAAGCAGACCAGCTCCATGGAGTGGCCGGGTCTGTATCTCATTGCGGAAGTACACATGCCCACCTCTCAGTTGGTAACCCAATGCTTAATTAACCCTCTGTGATGCAGGGGCTCTTTAAAATGGACCCAGAGCACCAAAATGATTTGCCTTCAGCGGGCAACACTGCCCACCAGGGCACAGAGGCACGTGGTGGAGAGGAAGGGTGGCCCACAGCTGTTTGGTGCTGCAGCAAAGCCACAGTCAAGCCTGGTGAAGCAAAAGCCGTGGTTAAGCCTGGTGGGGGGTTGGGGAGCTCCTTAACTACATCTCCTTTACAGGCGGAGTTCACTTGGCCTCCCAAACAAAATGGAGACCTATCCAAAGTGAAACAGGAGGCTGAGAGAGGAGGCCACGTAACCAGAAAACCAAACAAGCAGAGAATGTGCGGTACGTAAGACAGACTTATCTTGGGAAGAAGATGTTCAAGGGAGCGGCCCAGCAAAAGCAAGAAAGAATTCCAGAGATGTCAAATCCCAAACCACACTCATTGCCATGTAGGGCGGATGTCCATTTGCAGTGACTCTACCGGACAGGGTAAAACTGCCCACTGGGTTTCAGAGACTAACTTAAAAACTTTTCTTTTAATTAAAAGGTCATTTTATTGGGGGCTCTTACAGTTCTTATACTAATCCATACTTCAATTGTATCAAGCATATTTGTACATACGTTGCCATCATTATTTTCTAAACATTTGAGCCCTTGGTATCAGCTCCACTTTTTCCCCCTACCTCTCCCCTCCCATCCTCATGACCTCTTGATAAATTACACAGAATTTTCATGCCGTCTGCTGACCGCTGGCTCCCTTCCCCACAGCTTCTGCTGCTCTTCCCCCTGAGGGCGTGTGTACGTGCGTGTGGTTGTGTCCATCGTTGCGATAGGTTCCCCCTTCCTCTCATCTCCCCACCTTTCCCCACCTTCCTGGTACTGCTACTCCCATTCCTGTTCCTGGATTCCAGGAACGAGAATCAGAGACTAACTTTTTACAGGAGTAAAAAGCCGCCCTTTTATCCGAGGAGGGCCTGGTGGTTTCAAACTGCTGACCTTGCGGTTGAAACCCACCACGCCACCAGGCTCCTCATCAGAGAATTCGCTAAGTGGAAATCTAGTTAACGATTACCCTAAAGCTCACTGTTACATTGGGGTAGTTGTACGGCAGGGGTATTAATGTGGCTTGAAGTTTTGGGGATGGGGCTGTAAAAAATACTACTTTATAAAGCAACTCAATGCCTGGGTCCAGACATACCCTGCAGTTTAGCTCTGTGACAGCTAAGAAAGCTGCTGGCTAACTGGTGCCCTCTGCTGACGAAGAGATAACAATGACCCCATGTATGTATGCTTGAAAACTATCATCCAAAGCCCCAAACCAAGCTCACTGCTGACTCATAGCAACCCTACAGAACAGGGCAGAACTGCCCCTGTGAGTTTCCAGGACAGTAATTCTTTACAGAAGAAATCCCCATCTTTCTTCCGAGGAGCAGTTAGTGGTTTCAAACTGCTGACCTTGCAGTTAGCAGCCCAACGTGTAACCACTGCACCACCAGGGCTCCAGTACATTCAAACACTGGATGGAGGATATAGGGAGCTAATAATAATGAGTACAAGAAAGAACAAATTATTCTAAAATTGATTGTGGTTGACTGCACAACTCTGTAATATGATTAAATAATTGGATTGTATGGTACGTGAACTGTATGTCAATAAAACTGCTTTTAAAAACAACTTGAACCACTTTGCCACCAGAGCTCCTATACAGTTATTTACAGGACTGTTAAAATAGCCTAGTGGTGTAGGGGGTTGAGCCTTAGACTGTTTGAACACACAAGCCAGTCCACAGGAAAAAGACGAGGCAGGCAGCTCCCATGATATTTACACTTTGGAAACCCTGTGGCGCAGCTCTGCCTGATAGGGTCGCCATGAGTCCGCATTGCCTCGCTGGCAGTGGGTAGAGGACTCTTTCCATCCTTCATTTTTCTAGAACCTTACTATGTTCTAGCATGTTCCAGAAATTCCAATGGGAAGTATAAGCACAGTCAAACTATTGGTAATTATTAACAGCCATATTTTAATAAAACATTAAATTGCTCATAAAAGGCAAAAAAAAAAAACACAACTTGAACTTATTGGCTGCAATAATATTTTGAAAAGGACTAAGAGCGAATTTGTCAAATCCTAGTAGAATAAAAACAATAACAAAACCTTTAGTTGAAAAAATTTTATACTATGGGCTTTAAAAATTAAAACATAATGGAATTTCCCCACAAGCTTTTTGAGCAGCCTCACGTGTAACTAGGGGCAATTATTCAGTAATGAACGGCGGGGATAAATCCATTTTGGTACCTACTGGGCAGTGGGTGTCTTGGGCTGTGGCTGGGCCAGGAGATATTTTCCAGTTGCTGGTTTGGAGGGTGGGGGGGCATCCTAGATGAGGGGTCAGGATTGGTGAAGTTATTTTGTTAAATTTAAATATGTAGCTTTGGAAAAAATCCATTTGGGGGGGTACCCTCGTATCATGTTAAGTTCTCAGTGTTTCCCCTCCTGCCACAATTACACATTCAAGTAGGGAAGCAGACCCACCTTCAACATTCGCATCTCTCTCAGCGCTATTTTCTTAACAACGGGATCATCTTCAGATTCCACAAACTTTTTAATAGCTACCACTTGGCCAGAGGTTTTATTTCTGCATTTGAAAACAACTCCGTAAGATCCTTCTCCGATTTTTGCTAGTTTCTCATACTTTTCCATTATATTCGGAACAACTTCACTTTACGTGTTGCTTGGCTGGCAGTATAGTAATGTTGCACCTGGAAAATAAGATTGACTCGCCTTAATCACGTTACAAAGTGCAATGGTCTCACCACTTGCTATATTTCCCAAGAATGTCAAAGGGCTTAGTTCCATTGATCAAAGAATCTTTAAACAAATACTTGATGCTATTTGGTTAGCTTGGTCTTGTCTTAATGTAGTTCTCTGACCGATCACAAAAATTTCATATATAATTTTTAGCCAAGGCTCTATGCCTAAGGAAATTAAAGA